GCGCGTGGACAGAGTACATTGATAAGTGTTCATTTCTTTTTTCAGCTTTCTGTTGTAAAAAAAAAGGACGAATGTTAAGAAGGAAGTGATGATCACTGCGTAGGAAATAATAGCTTGACGAGGTAGCTCTTTCCTTGCAGTCAAAACACAAGTTGGCAAACTTGTTTCAAACTGTAATGCATTTTTACTGTTCGTGCAAAATAATAGCAATGCCAACATTAAAACAAAAAGATAAAGACATGAATGGCTGTCGGAAAGCCGAAATATTTTTCGGCAATATAAATTGTTGAAATAATCAAAGTATTTTTGTATTATAGAAATCTGTACTATAAAGAATGTAATTCAATGATCGAATGAATTATCGTACAATGAATGTCAAACAGATTCTTGTTGTTCACTTAACTTTCGTTTTTTCCAAAGAACTAAATGACGCGCTTTGTCAGCTAATTGATTGTAAAATGTTAAGCGGCGAATTTTTCATTTAATTAGCTCTCTTTATTTCCAGAATAACTATAAATAGTGTGCTTCGATAGTATACTATCCATCTTTACTTATTCTAACGACCGATTTTACTCGCGATATTCTTTGATCATTGTTTTATAATATACATGAAGAATAAATCTTCAATCAATCAATAAAGCTTTTATCACAGCTGTACTAATCATTGTCAAAAAACTTTCATGACAGTAGTTTTGATCTCAGTTAATTTTTCAAAAGATGACGATAATGCTAATCTTGCTCCATGTCCTACATAAAGTTTATGCGCTTCTCAAGTTTCCTCGCAATATGAAGTTTCAGGAGTAGTGGGTTAAAAAAGCTTTTTTCAAACGAGCAACTTTGATAGTCGTACCTGTCCGATGGCGTAGAAAATAAGAATCGCTCCTCCCAAACACCACTGCACAATTATCATTGTAGTAATAATACAAACGTCCTTTCGCTTTTCGTATTGGTTCGATCTTGAAAGCATTTAGAACATTCATTTTTATGTGACGTAAACTTAAAAGTTGTTGACAGACAAAACTTCTATTTACATTTTTCTTAATTTCAAATTTATGTAAAAAGAGAGAGTAGAAAATGAAACTCTGTGTCCTATTCAAAAGAAAGTGTAAGTGATTTTTTTGAGTGATTTAAAATAGTGGATTGAATATCAAAATTCAAAAAGTAAATTCATGTCCACTATTTGTTTTATCTTTCATTTTTCAGTCTTCCATCGTTTCAAGCAGGAGAATGTACGCTGCAAAGCATTTATCATCAAAAAATATACTTACTTTATGGTAGCAAACAATCGTTCAATGAAAAAGGTTAATACAGATGTGTGAATATTAAAAGAACCCAAAACAAGCGGTGCGCGAATGATAAAACATTCGATGAAAGATATTAGAAGGTCACAGGGTCGGTTCGGTAATCTATTGGACAAATAGATTTCATATGTCATCATAAGTGTTCCACCAAAATTGATCAACATTGCCGATACATTCATATTTTGCAAGAGTACAAGGGAGTTTCTGTAAATATTGTTTCTTTTTTAATTTTCATAAGCAACAATGTTTGAAAAAAGAAAGGAGACAGGTAACATTGATATCAGACTGATATTTAACATAGTCCACTTAATCAGTGAACTCACTAATAGTCTGTCGAAGTGATCTGATCAAAGTGTGAGATCACGAACGATTCTGAACTGGACTAATGCCAGTGGTATTCTTAACTAAGCATATTTAGCTAAACAATTTCCTCTGATTCTCGAAGTAACAGCAGAAAATATCCTAAGAGGAGGAAATACATTATTACCTGTGCAATGCAATGTGCTTCACCTCGAAAAAGGCAAACTTTAATATTAAAAAAGTTGCTATTAAAATAATTCCCATCATAACAAACGGTAAATAGCGAAATATCATCATTTTATGTCGTGAAAGGGCTTCCAAACACAAATCATTCATTCTTGTGTGACCAAATCTCTAACTGTAACCAAATAAAGATATCTCCCAGTATAAACGGATATTGTAAATTGACAGCTTTTAATTCGATCAATTTTGATCTAACTTAATTCAACAAACAGGATCCATTCTTCTACAGCTAGTTCTCGTGTTGCTTCATTTCGTCGGAATTGACAGATTAAGCAAATGTCTGGTTTCAAATCAAAGTCTTCAGAGGAAGGATGAGTTTCTAGCAACAAAGTTACTCAACTGCAAGCTCTAAATTCAATACCACTCATTTATAATAGGATTGCATAAACAATGAATATTGGTTACCATGGAGAATGAAACAAAATTTGAACCGACCGATGAGCGAAAGCTTGGAAGAAGCGGTATGTATTGAATTAGTTAATATGATGATCGAAATTTGTATTGGCCATACAGCAAGAACTATTTTTAATATCGCAGCAATTCGTTTCCCTCGTACATTGATTCTTCGTGATTCTTCGTCGGCAAAAATAATATTGAATGTATAATACTGCTTAACACAATGTTAGATTTATCAGGAGTTCTCAAGTTTCAAGCCATTACATCTGGCAAAAACACAAGCATCCCATTCATTTTTTATCGTTCCCAATATATCCAGTTAG